TGCTCAGCATACAGGTTATATATGTGAGAGAACACAACCCTTTCGCACACCTTTCTTAATTTTAAACCATTCAGTGTTCTCATGTTCTGTTCGAACAATTGCCTCTTGGTCCAGGTACAGATTCCTCATGAGCACAATGAAGTGTTCCAGAATACTCATACTTTGCAATGTTGTCCTTAGTTTCTCATGATCCACACAATCACGTAGTCAACAAAGCACAGGTAAACATCTTTCTGGTATTCTCTGCTTTCAGCCAAGATCCATCAAGAAGCAATGATATCCCTTGTTCCACATCCTCTTCTGAATCGGCTTGAACCTCTGGAAGTTCTCTGTCAATGTATGTTTGCAGTCATTTCTGTAGTACCTTTAGTAAAACTTTACTCGCATGGGGTATCAAAGAGATTGTCCAATGATTTCCACACTCCATTGGGTCACTTCTCTTTGGAATGGGCACAAATACGTATCTCTTCTTCAGTTGGCCAGATAGTTGTCTTTCAAATTTCTTGACACAGATGAGTGAGTGCCTCCAGTGTCACCTCACTTTCTTGAACAATATCAATTTGTACTCTGTCCTGGTGTGGCACTGTGGTTTAATGCACCAGACTGCAAAGCCGTTTGAACTGCAAGGTGGCGATTCAAGCTCACCAGATGTTCCTCGGAAACCTTATACAGGGTCGCTATGGGTCAGAACCAACTCGAAAACACTTATCAACAATTCCTGGTGCCTTGTTCTTTTCCAATTCCTTCAGTGCACCTTGGACTTCTTCCTTCAATATCATTGGCTCTTGACCATATGCTATCTCTTGAAATGGCTGAACACCAACCATGTCCTTTTGGTAAAGTGACTCTTGTGTATTCCTACCATCTTCTTTTGATGCTTTCTGCATCATTCAATAATTTTCCCAGAGAATCCTTCTATAATAAAAGTCAAGGCTTTAATTTCTTCTTCAGCTCCCCCAGCTTAAGAAATGCTGACTGTGTTCTTCCCTTTTGGTTTTCTGACTCCAGATCTCTGCACATTTCATTGTAATATTTGACTTTGTTCTCTCAAGCTGACCTTTGAAATTTTCTGTTCAGCTCTTGTACCTCCTCATTTCTTCCACTTGCTTTAGCATCTCTATGCTGGAATCCATTTTGATATTTTTCTGAAATCCATTTTGATATTTTTCTTCTTTCTTGTCTTCTTAATGACTTTTTGCTTTCTTCCTGTATGATGTTTTTTATGTCATCCAACAACTCTTCTGGCCTTTGGTCTTTACTGCTTAATGTAGCAAATATGTTCTTCAGATGATCTCTAAATGCATGTGAGATATATTCAAGGTCATATTTTGGCTCTCATGAACTTGTTTTCATTTTCTTCAGCTTCAGTCTGAATTTGCATATGAACAATTGATGGTCTGTTCCACAATCTGTCCCTGGCCTTGTTTTGGCTGATGATATGTAGTTTTTCCAACGTCTCTTTCCACAGATGTAGTCAACTTGATTTCTGTGTATTCCATCTACTGACATCCATGTGTAGGATAGTCTCTTATGCTGTCTAAAAAAGGTATCTGAAATAAACAAATCATTTGTTTTGCAGAATTCTATCATTCGATCTCCAGCATCATTTCTATCACCAAGGCAATATTTTTCAACTACTGATCCTTCCTCTTTGTTTCCAACCTTTGCATTTCAATCACTAGTAATGATCAACACATCTTGATTGCATGTTTGATCAATTTCAGATTGAAGAAGTTGGTAAAATTCCTCTATTTCATCCTCACTGGCTTTAGTGGTTGGTGGGTAAAATTTGAATAATTCTAGGAAGAAGGAATAATACTAGGAAGAAGGAGAGAGAACTATTTCCAAAATTTAGTCACTGAAAACTTTAGGTATCACAATTTTTCTAGAATACTTTGTACATTCCATGTTCTGACTATTAATGGATATCTCCAATTGTTTCTTCTAAATTTTAGATCTGTTATTATTAAGTGCCGTCAAGTTAGTTCTGACCCATAGCGACCCTGAATAGGGATTCTGAGAAGCAGCTGGTGAGCTTGAACTGCCAAACTTGCAGTTCAACCGGCTTTGCAGTCTGACGCATTAGCCCACAGAGCCACACCAGGGCTCCATCCTTAAAGATTTGCTCCATCCACATAATTTAGGACAACTACTTTCAGGAGACAGCTCTTCCGTAGTGGTATTTTGAGGAAATGCTCCTTCCAATCTGAGGAAATGCTCCACCTCTTCTTCTTCCTAGTGTGTCTTAGTCCGGAAGCTCTGCTTTAAATACCAGCATGGATGACCTTGCTGGTATTTAAAATACTAGTGGCACAGCTTCCAGCATCACAATTCAATAAACTGACAGAAGAGTGATGTTGAGAGGAGTGAACATTCAAAAAACTTTGGACAAAAATAATTCACTTGAAACATATATTCACCAAAATGTGATTTTAAAAAGGAAATGTGTTTCATTTGAAAGTATCTATTCCTCTCAAGTCTGGCAATTCCAGTCAACCTTTAAATAAATAGCAGGCAGGAATGATAAAAAGGAAAACTATACATGTGACTTAAAACTTTGCATACTTCTTTTAACTAAAACAGCTTTCTAAATAAATTCATCTAAATTTGGAGAGGAAAGTGGTAATGGGAAGTGTTAATGAACAGAAAAGTCAGTTTTAACACTCCATTGATATAGTTTCCCAAAGGAGGTACTTTTAAAGGAACTTTGAATTACACGGAGTCCTGGTGTGGTGCTATAGTATAAGCACTGGACCGCAAGGTCAGAAGTTCAAACTCACCAGGTGCTCCTTGGAAACCCTACACAGGGTCACTATGAGTCAGAACAGACTCAACGGCACTTAACAACAACAATTACTTAAACACAAACACTCGCTTATGCTTTACTTTTGTCTAATCTCCATTTGTTGTTGTTGTTAAGTGCCGTTGAGTCGGTTCTGACCCATAGCGCCCCTGTATAGGGTTTCTGAGGAGTGACTGGTGAACTTGAACCGCCGACCTTGCAGTTCAAATGGCTTTGCAGTCTGGCACATTAACCCACAGTACCACACCAGGACTCATTAACAAAATGTTAATAATAAATTGCAAGATATTTAAATTTCCAGACCTGCAGGTGGGCTGGGACACACACACACACACACACACACACACAACTGTAAAGCAATGCAATGTTTTCCTCCCTTTCTCTGCAGAGGAATATCCAAGCATGGAAGCTAGGAGGACTTGTCTAAGTTACCTAATGCTGTTATACCCGAAATACCACAATTGGATGGTTTTAACAACCAGAAATGTATTCTTTCACAGTTCAGGTGTCTAGAAGCACAAATTCAGAGTGCAGGCTCTAGGGGAAGGTTTTCTCTCTTTGTTGGCTCTGGGGAAATGTCCTTGTCTCTTTACAGCATCTGCAATCCCAGTATTCCTTGAAGATCTCTTTATATCTTGGCATCAATCTTTCCCAGGATCTAAGAGCTTCCCAGTGCTCTCTTCTTTTATACTGAAAAAGAGATTGACTCAACACCATTTTAACATCACAGAAGTGACCATTTACAACATAAGATAATTACATCAGATCAGAGTTTATCATATCAAATCACATCATGGGGTGATTGCATTGTGATCCCCACATGGGGGAAGTACTACATTTTAACTGCCAAACCAGTGAGAATCCAGTCCCAGCCAAGTTGACACAAAATCTTACCACATTTAGCTAGCCCCAAGATCCCCCCTTTCTAGAACTAAATCTATCAGATCATCTGTAAGAACCCTTTCAGATTCGTAAAATGAATCTTAAAAGGTGATGGAAACATATCACTAGAAACAGAAATTTCTTACGTCTTAACAAAAAACACAAAGCATTTTTCTCTTAAAAACTATGGCCTCTTTACGAGTAACTTTTCATAAGTACAACCATAATAGTCTCAATACTACTTGGGACTTTCCCTTCAAGCCACTAGAGACTTCCCTTTGACCTTTGTCAGGTTCCTGATAGAGCTCACGGTGCCCAACCCGCGGTATGCTGAGCGTTCTCAAGAGCTGAGCGCAGCCCGCCCACAGGACAAGCTCAGTTTGGTCACTGGGAGGGGGGAGTGCACCGGATTGCGTCGCCTCTACACCCACCTCCTGCAGCTACGAGTCCCCTCCCTTTGCCAAAGCATGGATTCTCGGGGCTGCACTTATTGTTAGCCTCGTCTATGACTTTATGGACCGGGTGACATGAATGAATGGGCTGGACACACCTTCTAGCCTCGTAAAGGGGGCGGGGGGGGGGCGGAGGGAGCCAGTCCAGATCTGCACAGAGAGCGGGAGAGACTCCCCCGGGCGCCTCCAGAACCTACGCTGCGGGCCAGGGAAACGCACAGCTTCCCCCTCCCACCCTCACTCCTCCCATCCCTTAAAAAAAAACCCAAAAACCTCCCAACAGAAATAAATAATATTGTCCCAAGCCTCCAGGCGTCCTCTGTCCCTTCTCCTCCCCTCCTGGCTCAGCACACTCTCAGCCCTGCGGGAGGCGGCGGCGAGAGGCAGCTGCGCTGGGCCTGGTGCGGGGAGCGCAAGCGGTAGGCGGGCGCGCGGTGGGTCGCGGCGCAGCACTATGCTCCCCAGCGCCGTGGCTGCCCACGCCGGTGCGTACTGGGACGTGGTGGCTTCCTCCGCGCTCCTGAATCTCCCGGCAGCGCCGGGCTTTGGCAACCTGGGCAAGAGTTTCTTGATTGAGAACTTGCTGCGGGCCGGGGGCGCCCCAGCACCCGGGCTGCAGCCTCCCCCGCCTCACGGCCCAGCGGTCGCTGTAGCAGCCAACGCTCAGATCCGGCCCTTGCCTGCCAGCCCTATTCCCCTCAAGCTGTGCCCTGCGGCCGAACAAATCAGTCCCGCGGGGACGCCCTACGGCACGCGGTGGGCTTTTCAAGTCCTCAGCCCCTCGGTGGACGGCGCGAGGTTGTCGGGCCGGGTTCCGGGAGACCGAGGCTGTACCTTCCAACCTTCAGCTCCAGGTAAGCTAGTTCTTTACCTCCCCTGAGCGCCTAGCATCCTCCAGTTTGGCGGTTCCGAAGTCTGGGCGCACCGTCTGTGCGTACTGCACGGAGGCGCCAAGGTCCCTGTGCGCAGAATCCCGTGCTGGGATGGAATTTTCTGAGAGCTCGACCTTTCGTAGAGATGCCACTTCGAGTCTAAGGAAGAGGACACTAGTATTTTTTATTCTTTTCTATCTCATACCACCAACACCAAGTTCCTGCGTGTCCTTTTTTTTTTTGCCCCCCCCCAACAAGTAGTTAAGACTCGTCTGGCCTTTCTGAGGAAACCCTTGAGGCACTCCGTTGTGTCTATCGAAAATGGCAGGCTGGGGTGGGGGTGGGGGGTTCCTAGACTCGCTGGGCCAGTTTCACCGGGTTTCCCAAGTTCAGCGTTTCCAGCCCGACAGCACCTGTCTTGAAGGCCGCGCTCCCAGGAAAGTTCTTGGCAGGGAGAGCTTCGCGCAGTCCACGTTGGAGGCTTTCGTCTCTCAAACTGTTGCTGCAGTCCAGACCATTCAGGAACGCACGGAGAGATGTTCGGAAGGAGAATTTCGCAAAGTTTAGCTTTCTCTATGCTTTCATTTTGGATTGCTTAAGGTGCAAAGAAGTTAAGGCAGACTTTTTCTTCGCCCTGAACTCCCAATGGCTGAATCGGCAAACGATAACTCACCAATTGGAAAACTCACCAAGAGGATTCCAAATAAATAGGGATTTACCAAAAGAAGGGCAGTTTGAGTTTGTTAAATTATTGCATAACATCTAGCCAGAAGGACTGGAAAGAAGAATGTGGACAATTGAGTCAAAAATTAGCCATAGTGTTTGGAGGGGTTGCTGCAGTTGGCGATCATGAAAGGGAAGACTCTTTTAAACACTTAGGAATTGAGGTCCAGTGGGGTTATTTACTTTTTTTTTTTTTTTTTTAATCTGCGTCCTTAGAGGATCTTAACTCGTCTCTGAACCCCATAGGGTTAGATAGTACAGGATGATTAATAGACAGTTTTCAGCAGATCCCATTGTCCCAGCATACTGCCGGATCAAATTTATTGCTAATGGCTGTATAGAAGCTAGCATGTTTAGAACCTGCCCTGGTTCTAAACCAGGTTATTACCAGAATGGAACAAATATAGTCTATTTTTAAATGGTTATTAACAGAATGGAACAAATATAATCTAATTTTAGGAACATTCGTTTTATTCACACTGTGTATAATTTAAATTCTAGGAAGCCTTTTGCGCCCTGGGAGAGGAAAAAAATACAGTTTAAGGAAAGTTGTCATGCCTTGGAAAAGTGGACCCATTAGAAGAGTTAGTTGTCATTTAAAAATATTTTAAATATCATTTGTTGATTTGCTTAACGTTTGGTGACTTGCTATTATGTTCATTGTTATTAAGTGCAGTTGAGTGGGTTCCGACCTATAGCGACACTGTATAGGGTTTCTGAGGAGCGAATGGTGAGCTTGAACCACAGACTTTGCGGTTCACACCAACTTCACGGTCCAGCGCATTAACCCACTGCGCCATACCAGGACTCCATTCTAGTTATTGTTTCAAGAATTCTTAATTGGTCCTGATTATTGACTGCGAGATCTGGTGTGCTGCTGTGGGATAAGCACTCTACAGAAAGGTCGATTTGCGCCACAAGGTCAGCGGTTCAAAGTCCACAGCCACTCCTCGGAAACTCTTTACGGAGCCGCCGTGGGTCGCAACCGACTCGATGGCACTAAACAATAGCAACAACAACACAATTGACTACAAACCATTGAAAAGTTACTTAATTTTCACCTTTGTCTCATGTTTTACAGATTAAATTTAAATAAACTAAATGTGAATCAAATTGATGCTTGAAAATAATTTCTTGTATTTATTCATTCCAGTCAAACTATTGCAGTTAGTGGGTAAAGGCTTCCTAAATAGTCTTTTTATTCTCAAGGATGTATTTATTTTTGTACACTTTCATATCCATACACATAGATAATTTCTTAGAATAATTAAACAGACTAAGAATTTATATTTCTCCTTTAAATATTCTAATATAGTTTAAGCATATATTTTTTCTTAAGTATTTTATTCAGTTCTCTTTGAAGACTTGATGTTCTGCTGTTGAATTTTCATTTGAACAACCTTTCCTTTCTAGTAAAATCATTCTTGTAAGAATGCATTTAATTTTTGAAACTAGAAAAAGATCTATAGAACACTAAAATCTCATCAATTTGTGCCCACAAATATTCTGCTTAAAACCACCATTTACATTCATTTATTTTTGTAATTTGATGTAGAATGTATTTCTAAGCCATTGCCCTAGTGTTATTCAGATGACAGTCTTGAATTATTAAATGTAGGTATTTTTCTATAAGGCACAAACTTATGAAGTTATAATGAATGCCAACATTTTTAACTCTCTTACCTGAAAATTAGGTGAGGATGAAAATAGTGACTGGTGTTCTACAGAGAGTCTAAAGGAGATTTTTAAAAAGCTATTGTTTTAAAGAGAATTGTACTATCTCTCTCTGAGTCATTAATGAACAACCCAGTTATGATCCTTTGGAAACTATTTTGGTTGTGATTCACAAAATGTGATTTTTTAGTAATTTTAGCATATTGACCACCCCTTATTACCTCATCTTTATTTATTGAGTACATCTGTCGAAATGTTAAAGGAGATAAAAAATCCCAACTTGTGAACAAGTTGTTTTTTTCATGCATTGGTAAAAGAACATGGGGATTTGTGTCACCACAGGCATTCCTGCTTTGTTGTTTTTGGTACCCACTATTATGAGTCCAAACTGACTTGACAGCATTTAACAACAACAACCTTAATATATCATATCTTTCATTCATTCAGCTAATACTGAGTGTCTACCATATGCCATGCTCTGTTCTAAACCTGGGGATAATCAGCGAAGGAGACAGTCTTTGCTCTCCTGGAGCTTACAGTCTATGCTCTGAACTACTTTATAATTTACCAAGCATTTTCCCAATTGTAAACTTCTTTAATCCCCATAAAAGGCCAATGAGATAGGCATTGGTATTCCAATTTAATTTTCTACAATGAATATTTCACTTGCTAATTTTGTTTTTCAGAAATGTCATTTTAAACTTTTGTGCTTATGTGAAAAAGAAAAAAAATTGCCCCACATCTCCAGGTTTTCAATGAATATGAGAAACTAATAAGGAGTAATAGGATAATCAATAACGTTGTTGTTAAGTGCTGTCCAATCAGTTCGGACTTATAGTGATTCTGTATAGGGATTCCAAGGAGCAGCTGGTGGCTTTGAGCCGCCAACCTTGTGGTTAGCAGTACAGTACTTACCCTCAGTGCCACACCAAGACTCCAGCCAATAACATTATCACAATATAAATCAGATCTCAGCCCACAAGGAAAGACATCAGCTCTCCCCTTCATCTTGTTATAAGACACGCCTGAAAGGTGGTGACAATCAAAACAATAACATAGAATAACTGACAGGTCAAACAATAACAGACTAATAGATCATAGATGAAAGTATAGCAGGCGGTATTTCATGTCTGAAAGTTGACAAGTCTTTGATTATTTAGGGCAAGGAAAGGAACATTCCATAATTACATGTTCTCAAATTGTTTACATAGAGTAATTTTAAAACTATAAAAATCAAAAGCCATCCCTCAAGGCTTGGGAGGGATTACATTTAGTACAATAGTGGATAGTAAGTAGGTTTGCCTCCAGGTGTTGTATCTATAAAAAAAAGATTGTTTGGGATCTGCTGTTGTTTATTAGTGGAAACTGGGAATTTATCAGTTAAATCCTAATGATTGAAGATTCTTTCCCGGAAGTTCTTTAAAGTCATTATTACCTAAATGTTCGGTTAGATTAAATAATTGATATATATTTATACATAAAAGAGGGAGGCATGGTGTCTCCATAGCATAAAGCACTGGGCTGCAAATCACAAGATTGGTGATTCGAGCTCACCGGCTGTGCTACGAGAAAGATGAGGCTTTCTGTTCTTGAAAAAGTTTAGAGCCTATAAGGCAGAACCGACTCAATGATGCTTAACAACAGCATATATAAAAGAGGGTTTAGAATTTGGTCCACATAGTAACAGTGAAAGAAAAAGCTGAATAAGTGTACATTTCTCTGGTTATACTACCAGTTTTCTTCAAAGTAAGTGTTTTTAAATAGCATTTGTTGCTTAAACATTTTAAAGAATTTGCCATAAAAATAATTCCTTGAATATAATTTTCTGTAATGCTTATCAAATATACTTCATGTGCTGAAAATACTCATTTTTTAGATCATAATAAAAGACTTGGAAAGCAAATGTTCATTCTGGATAGGTGAATTGTACTGTGCTTTTCTTTATAGAGTAATTTTTCCAAGTAAATTGTCATGTGTCATGCAGAAATGAATTCAGATCCATAGATTTTTTTTTTCTGATACCCAGTTAGGATTGTCTCTTCCCGTTTATACTAAATCTGCATACTTGTTTGCTGGTCTGTCTCCCAGTCCCAGTTACTATGAACCTAATAATCCTTGACTGTCTTAAATTGGTACGCTTAAGGTTTGTGTTCCAACTAGTATTTCTTCATTGAGATACACTGAAAATGGGAAATGAAATCACGTCTCTTATACTTTAGGGACTTGGGAGAGAATAGGCGTGGATCTGTGCTCAAAGTCGAGATTCTAGTCTGATTTAGGATTTATAAATCTGATTTATGAAGCCAGAAGTTTGTTGTTTTTATTGCTGACCCCATCCTTTTGGATGTTGTGGAAAATTAGGATCACAGAGTCTTGAGTGTTGATATTGCTGATCCAGAACCAGGAAGATGAGAAGGGAGGACTCAGAACAGGACAGTACTGTGAACTCTCTTGGTGAGTGCTTGAACTCAGGCCATCACCCCAGACAACCCACTGGTGGAATTTGCAGCTAATACCAGAGTAATATTTACTTTATCTATAGCTTTTTTGTAATCTGTTGAATACAACTTTGTATTGAAATTAAT